AATCTTAATGATGACGAAATTCGACATGGGTACTTCCAACAGGACAATGCAACAGCTCACAAGACAAGGGAAACTATGGGTCGAATTCACGAGTTTTATGATGATCGAGTTATTCAATTTCCGGCTCGAAGTCCGGACCTGACAATTCTAGATTATTTCATTTTCCCATATCTCAAAAACACCGTTTTTAAAAATAACCCGCACAACCTTGAAGAACTGCAAGAGGCAATTTCTAATACATGTAACGCTGWAACCCCTGAGATATTGGAAAATGCATTTGAAAATATGAAACGGAGGGTTAACAATTGTATTGCAGCTGGGGGGGAACACTTTGAACATTTTATGTAATTCGCAATAAAAACGCATTCGTTTCAGTGTTTTCATTTCCTTTAAATTAAAACGATTGAATATCAGATCCACAAACGTCACAAAGTTAACCACAACCTCAAATTTATTCAATCAGTCAATTGGCATTCTGGGCAATCGTATAAAAAAAAACCCGCCTGCTTTAATTTATTTTTTAAATGATCTCATGGTACTATCTAATCATAAACATTTATGTTTTAGATAACACATTTACATAACATGCTTAACTTACAATGCAAAGGAAATATTTCGAAATGGAAACGCCCTACCTCAATAATCACAAATTTCAGTTAAAAACTAAGTTGCTGCAAGGAATGTCTCATTAAATTAAATGATGTACAAAACAAAAAAATTAATATCATAACTGATGTGTGAAAAAAATCTGTGAGTATAAGGTTGTAGACATTTGCTTGATATAGCACTGGACAAAATAGAATTTATAGTAAAGACTCTCGGATGAACTGAAATTTAATGATAAAAAAGTAACCTATCAGGATTTGAAGCTATAAGTGACTAATTTTTGTATAGGTTTTGTATCAAGTACCCAAAATAGGGTTTTAGAGGACAAATCGTAATTAATGACGAGGCGACGTAGGAGCTAAAATATTTTTGTTTGTTGAAACTTTTGTAAAATCCTTTATTCATTTAACAAATTTTAAAATAGAATGTCTATTTGTCAAATTACAACAGTGACGACGCAGCTCTCACATGCTGTTCTTGCGTTGCTTGGACTCTACCTAATATATCACGTACTGTTTTTTTGGATCTGAAACAACTTATTTTAAGGACTGAATAAGTCTGTACAGTAGGATGCGTATACAAAAATGTAATTTCCATTTTAGTACAACTTTATTATCGCTCAGTCAAGTTTGACGTTTCCGTCAATATTTGACTGGGACAGTGACGTCCACTTTATTGTGCTTGTCCAGCAGCACAGCTTCATTTTCATAATGCTGTAAACTTGACAAAGTGTGTTTTAATTCAGTCGAAAAACTAGTTTGTGAAACTAATTTTTGTCATATTTTGTCCGGTTTAAATTAGCTGTGACAGATATATATTTTAAGCACGCCACTGTTTTTTAGTTAATTAGTTAATATTTTAGTTTCGTGTATGTAAAGTGTTGGCTAGTGTTGATTTAGCCGCGAAGTTGGATAATTGCATTTTAAGGAACTATAAATTCCGGGTATTTACCGCATGTGGCTTAGAGCCACCACACCGGTGTTTAGCTGTAACTCTGCGACATGTTTAGCAAATTTCTCAGGATCTGGGTTAACACTGACTACTAGGCGTCTTTGTTCCAGGAGAACACCCAGCAGCCATGCACCACGGTCATGGCGCTTTGACGAGATTGTCCCATGCTACCATTCTTCTAAGTTTGGTGGTTTATTTGGTGATGAGGCATCCGACGTAGCGATTAGGTGATTAATTTGACCGTGCACTCTATCTATCTGACCATGATGGACATGGATGTACTGCGTGTCAGTGATATTGATGAACTGCATTAATATTAGTAATTGATGGCTAATCGCATGGATCTCTCTGAATTATTTTAACATATCGTAAAAATAAATACTGTCGGGGGCTAATTACTTTGTCTACAAATGTAGTACAATACTAATTTAATTAGAATTAACCGCTCTCGTCATTAAACCGGATGGCAATAATTGAACGAAACACTCGGAATTACAATACACATGGCCTGAATCTGAAATCAATTTGCTCGGACTTTTCGAGGTTCATGCGACCAAGTCATTTTCATATACAGGGTTGCGCAAGGATTTTGGGCAAGTCTGCATACCCTTTAATTTGTATAATTGGTCAGTCTTGTACATATCACGACAGAAATGCAACGATTTTCTCTCTTGTACATACAATTTTGATAGTTAAGTCGTTCAAATTTTGTACATACTAAATGTCATCGGTAAAATAAAATTTCGACATTTCTATAACTGCCGTACGTAAGATGTCTCCAATTCGTTTTCACTTTACTCTTAAACCAGATTTTTGTAGCAAACTTACACGAATCGATGATCGATGTTTGCCGACAAGATATGATATATTGCCTCGTGGCTTAATTATGCAGAAGGCCTCGTAAAGTAAACATAATTTCAGATCCGGATTTCTTAAGGAAACAGAAAAGAGGTCATCTTTCACGAAAATGCACTTGTTTTTGTCCGATATGAGATTTTCATAAGACATTTGTGATTGATGTTATGAATTCCGATGCGAATATGATAGAGTTTTATTTCTGAGTAGGGTGAATCGGCCTTTGACGGCTATTTATCACTTTTAATTAAACTTGTTTATGAATATTTAACGGTTTTGTTCAAATTGGAGATTTTTTGAAGATGTTCTAATTAAAATGAGACCCTTTGAAAGCCGGTGACCCAACTTTTATAATTTTCGTGTCCGGAATTTCGATTGGCTCCTTGCCACCGGCACGCTACCAATTGGAAACTAATCTAAATGCTTTTAATTTGTTTCCTGTCGCTCGTTCAAAGGGGTATTTATCGCAAAGACAATGGCCAAGTTTTTCAAAAAAAATCCAACTCTCATTTTTTCTAATTAAATCTTTATTTTTATACCAAATATAAAATCCCATTATTTTTGCTCTTCGAAATTATAGCCTGGCCTTGTTATTTCAAAAGAAAGATCAAATTTCTGTTATTTTCTGAGTAAACACAAAAAAATGCAATTCGTGTAAGTTTGATGTAATATAGACAAAAGTCTTTCCATAAAATTGTAAATATGTATAGTTTTAATAATTTGACTAATTCTGTATTTTGTTGACTCATGTGATTTTTGGTGTGATAAACAAAATTGTAAAGAAATAAACGTTTTATAATTGATGACCAAATTTTAGTAAGACATTTCTGAAAACCATAATAGTTGTATGCAAAATTCGACTTCACTAATACTATGTAATAGAAAAACCCTGTAAATATAGTAAATGGATTCAGTGTTTAATTTTCTTAAATTACCAATAAAATGTCATTAATTTATTTTAAATAAATTTACGATTCATATAAACCTCGCATTTTCATTCCTTTATTAATTTACAACCCCCTTTCGAAATAAAAACACAAAATTTCAATTAATTAATAAATTACATTATTATTTCAAGTAAAGAGATAAAATGTGGTGGAATTACTCGTCCCAATAGAGCTAATGTAGGCTGAACCATCTCATAATTAATATGAAACGTACGTTTGTTAATTACTTGGGGCACATTTTCATTCAAAAATGCGATGAGAACAACATCCACACGAAAGACAAAGCATACAGGTTTCGTCGGAAAATATATAAATTTTTCATTAAATCCGCGAAATAAATGCTCCTCATTTAATCAGATTCTTGGTTAAGACGTGTGCAATTTACAAGTAGCAAAACGTAATTAATATTTGAACCAATCTCAGTTTGTCCACGTCAAGAGCAAGTAATAATCCTGAATTAAATACGAGCAAGGTTATAGTTTGTCTTTGTTAGTTTAACTAGCAAACAGACCAAAATTAATAATTCCCAGTGCCGAGTCCTCGAATGTTGCAGATGAACAAAAGGTAAGTGCATTTGTTATGGCTTGAAGGAAAAATCGGTTAATGAAAGTGCATCCAGCACGAACTGCATTTATGGCCGGTATAATTTGAAAATGTTTAATTTTATGCATTTATACTCTATGCATAACAATAAGAGGATTAGTTCCGACCGCCGAGTGCCTTTATTAGCGGCCAAGAGTCGAAGCAATTCGCAAACGATTTCGCTTTAATTAAAATTAGTCATTTATTTGATTGGAGAAAAATTCAGTTTCGCGTCTAGATTTCAGGATATTTATTTTCCGATATTGGTAGAGAAGCGCTTTGCTACTCACTTATTTGATTTCATTTATTGCCGTTGGAATTTTGTAGACAGTTTATCGAGGCTCTATCCAAACAAGAACAGTTCAGTTGAAGAGATATCGTCTTTTATTGATCCCTGCTGTGTCTAGAAAGCACCCATGTGCAACATAGATGCATATTTTATATTTATAGCGAACAAGTTGCCAACTAGTGGCCTTATTAAAGGTGTAAATTTCTTTCTTGTCAAATAACATTCTTAATTAAAAATTTATAAAACAAGAAGCGACTTTATGACACATTTATGAGTTTTTTGCCCAAACTCCCTAATTGATTTGTGTTTACGAAATCAGCAATCAGCAACGATGGAACTGAACTAACAAGATCCAAGGGCCCTTACATCCTGCATAATCAAGGCAACTTGTAATTTGCCACGTTTTTGGAATTCCTGTTAGGCCGAATTTGCATGACAGGTGGAATCGAGTGCACGTGGAGCTATGTCAAGCCGTTTGTGTGCAATAAAAGCTGGGCCTGCATAATTTTATGTTGACTGGAATTGAATTTTTATTAGGTCGCATAGCTGATCACTACACTCGGCTAATACCCGTATTATTGCCGACACTAAATCAAAACGTTATGATGCTTTATGTCGACCTGTAATTTTTGTTCGTTCGCATGATTTGCTGCCGAGCGAGTATTGCAAAGCTTGCCAAAATTGCGCCCAACAAATCGAACGATTTACATATTTCAACACCAACACGAAAAACGCAATCCATCCTTTCCTAATTTACTCCAAGAAAATGAAATTCCCAACAGCGTTTTCCAAAAATGTGATAACTTCGAAATAAATTGCTTTAAAATTCTAATTCCGACTCGCATTATAGATTTTTTCGAGCGGATTAGAGACTGAGTTATTATTCCTTCATTAAGAAAATTACCTGAGACAAGAAGCGAACAAAATTTTTTCAGACCAAGACTTACAAACTGATTTGCTTAAACCCGAGACACTCGACACAAAACTTTAATTAAAAAACGATTTGAGAAAAAAGCAAGTATCTAAGACTCGGATTATATACACAAGAAATCCGTAAAAAATGCGCATATACAGGGTGTGTCAGAACTCGCGTCGCAGAGAAAAATTTCAAGTAACATAAGATATATACCAGAAACATGGAAAAATGTTTGAAAATTTTATCTATCAAAAATTTTTGACATTTGACATTTTTTATGTCTATTTCATGATACTGATGATCTTGTATATGTTTTTTTTTTTTGTAATTATTTAGTAAAGGTACAAAAATTTTGCCAATAAAGCCACAAATAGCATTAAACAGAATTACAATTTAGGATACAGCTTCCTTGTTTCCTCTTTTAATAGCCTGTAGCAAAAAAACTTGGAAAATTATTTTTTCAACAGAAATAAATAGAGTCAAAGTGCAAAATTTAAACTCTCATAACTTCGAAATTTTTATAGATTTTAAATGTTTAACATTTTTCCATATTACCTTACATCGCATTTTTCTCTGGGGCGCGAGTTCTGGCGCACTTGTATATGCACGTATTTTCACAAAAATAGGCACAAGATATTAAGAAATATGCTCCAATATTTATATACATGCCAAAGATGCAACTAAATGCAAAACTTTTAACAATAAAAAATCAAAGTTAGGATAAATTTTTATCCTTGAGTACACTAAACTTTGTATTTTCGGCATCTTGAATTGCACACGATGATCGAAAGAGAATAGATAAATTGAAGTTGTCTGAGACAAGCTATTTTAATAAGCTAGTAATTAAGCCTTTCTAAGAAATATGTACTTTGAGATCACATCACTTTAAACAATTTCGCTAAAATTAATTTGTAGGCAACTACTTCGAATGGAAAAATTATAGCCATACAAGGTGAATAAAAAGAATGGAATCAAACGTTTTTTGCTTAAACTATTAATTTTTCGGAAAAGCTAATTGATGAATAATAATAAATTACTATAAAAATGTAATGTTTTATCAAGAATAACATTTTTCGAAATTTTTTTTTATTTTTAAGTTCTACAAGAAAATATTTTTTAAAATGGCAGCCCACTAAAAAAACATTTTTCTCTTGAAGATTATGATCTAAAGGTTAAACTGTCTACTTTATATTAAATTTTAAAAAAAAATTTTTTTTACATAAGTAAATTGCAATTTTGACAAAAAAAATCGCATAACTCAAAAACAAAACAAAATTTCGTTCTCAAAATATTTGAAACAACTAGAAAAACTTTTTAATTTTTTTAATCCAAAATTGGAAAAATCACAGATGACAAAGACATATCTTCATATGTAGCCGGGTAATACGGTAATAATTCGTTCCTTTGGCTGATTAGGTGGTAAAGTTTGTTAGGGTGAAACTAGAAACTATTTGGGGTGTTCCCAAACAGGTAAATCCTCTTAATAATGCGGTCTGTTTCAGGAACCTATTTACATAAACTCCCAGAAAACAGCACACAGTTCAGTCTTGCAAGACGTTTATTCATCAAGAACTCGAGCACCCCTTAACTGCTACAAACCGAAATGTCTTGTTCTATCCAATTGTGTTGTTGACGAATAATCAATACTGTAATTCCGTCTAATTATAAATAAATATTTTTAAGACGTGTCGTTTAATTAAACACCTGTTTCAGGGTAAATTGTGATTGATGGCTCTCGGGAGAATCGAATATTTTCGGTTTTAAAAATAAACCGACGACAGTCTACTAATTAAACTCAGATCATCCTTTATCAAAGTTTTGAAAACACTTTTTAATTAACACGGATCCATTAGATCCTCCGTTTTGCACATGATTAATTTATAAACAGGGTGGTAATTTGGTAATTTCCAAAGCTATTAACCGTTTCGTGTTGTTCATCAAGCATAATTCCTCGTTCAGTTAATTACGTAAAAAAATGGCAATTTGTCATTTTTTGCGGTTGGAGCTTCCGCAGGAAACGCTGAAGACGCTTTTATTTTCTGTTCGGGTGGAGATAAGAATGCCCTTGAAGTCGAATCTGAAAACAAGTTAATTTTATGTAGCTGTGTCTCGTTTCCTGAACCCTTGATAGTCGGACACGTGCTTCACTGGACTCGTCCTAATTACCGGATATCCGCTGTCAGACCGTATTCCTGCGAGGCCTTGTTCGGACTTTGCATCGCTTTACCCCGACTAAATCCGGTTGAGCAAACGTAAATTATTTACAAAAACTTAATAAATTAACATGATCTTGAACAAACCGGAAATGAACACAGCTAGACCCCAATCAAATCTAAAGATTTTGGAATGTTTGTAAGAAAAGTGCTAAATTTTTGGATTTTTTAATAAATTTGTAGATTTTTAAACTTTGCATGAAAAGTGCTCCTGCATACGACAAATTCAAATTGAATCTCAAGTAGTCTAGCACGATCACCATAAATATCACTTCAAATTGCTTCGCTTGACCGCTCTAATCTCTCACAAGGCAATAAAAATTTTATCACATTTAGAAAAAATCTCAGGACAACTATATTTTAAAAGTTAGACCCGCATTCTGAGATAAGGCGTTATCAAAAATAATAAAATAAGCTGCGAGACGGTTTCCACAAAAAATGTGGCCAGAAATATTATTAATACCCAAAGCTCCCACATACAGAGAGCTTTTTATTTCATATAAATGCAAACCGAAGGAAATTATGCTCAAGATCTTGCATGACAATAACTGGCTCAAATAGTAAATATTGAGATTTTGTACGATTTATTAAAATGTGCTCTTTGACGGACCGTAAGTTGCGAGGTTGCGAAGTCGGGCATGAAATTATCGTAAAATAAATTAGAAAATATGTAAGAGGGAGTAGTGAGTGGCTTAAGAGTTTCGGCTCGTGCCATGCTTTCGTTATCAGTGGCTTTCAGGCCGGTGGTTGTTCCTTAAAAACTGCTTAATTGTCGTACTCGGCACCCTACTTCTTCCTTTTAACTCGTGCTTATTAAATTTAGCCGAATATTAATCTTCTTTTCTTTCATTGACATGTAATCTTAATCGGCGATGTAATTGTGCGAGAAATTTTAATGCAAATTTACCCAAGGGTGAAATTTAATTTTCAGATAGCGCATACATTTGAATGGATTTTCCTTTCCCTTTAAATGAATTCAATATTTATTCATTAAATATTTTACTGTCGTTCATATAATTTTTCACCT